AGTGGTCGTTTTTTCGATCCCCCTCGAAAATCTGATCACACCACTCGAAAATCTTCTAAAACTAGTAAACAGTTGTAATGAAATCAGCGCTCTTGAAAAACATTGTTACATAGTTTTTCAATTTTTCTTTGAATTTTTCCTCAAACGGTCGATTTCGCAGTGGCGCTATATGCTGAGAGTCCACCGTAATCTAACAGTAAGAGTGAGCGAACGGTGATTCGCTCTATACTATAAATCTCAGTTGAAGCTAGCACTACAAATGCTACCTAAAGCTTTTCGAAAGGCTATAACAAAAGAGTTGTTGACAATCAAACAGTTCTCTTCGCTAGCGATGTCACTAATTTCAAGACTTTATGTGAGATTTATGGGCTTGCTTTTGGGCTATAAACCTGAATTTGAGATTTTTCGTCACGGACCTTTTTGAGAACTTCTGCATAGTTTGGTTCTAGTTTCGATTTTGGCTCGCCATAATTCCAACAGCTACTACATATATTACGATGTAGTACACCACAACCTCGTAACAAATTGGTGACAAACAAAAAAATTAGCGCATGTTGCCATTTCTCGTGTCTCTCATCATTCTTGCCCGAAGAAAAAAATTGATCGGGTGTGCCGCAGTCGTAGAGGTGGAGTTAGGCGCTGAACACACGAGAGCGCGTGATGGCTTCGTGGTAAACACCCTTTCAGCCCTCTCTCACATGTTGTTTTGCGATTGCAGCGATCGCTCGCCATGCAGACTTTCGATATTTCTGGTTATTATAGATGTCAAAAATATCTGAATTTGCTATTTTCCAGTTCTAGCAACCCGCACAAAGCTACTCGATTTTTTGACTAACGCGAAGCATGTTTAGTCGAAGTGACCTTTTGAAATGGGATGTATACGATGCTGAAGAGCTGGAACGCTGATTTCAAATCTATCTTCCTTATCTGCGGATTTGTGGACCCGGAGTTGTGAGCGTTTATTGGAGCGTAAAAAAATCAAATTTGCATTTAGAACTAAATAAGTTGCCAAATTCTTACTAAACCACAAGTAAGCAACGTGATACATTTTTTAATCTTAGATTATTTATTGAAAAAAGTGCCTTGATAACTCTTAAAGCGCTAGAAAGAATACTATGATTTTTGTTTATTTGCACATTTAATGCTCCGCTAAACGCTCATTCCTCATTTGCAAACATTCCGCATTCGG